CACACACACACACACACACACACACACACACGCGCACACACACACACACACACGCACACACACACACACACACACAGGCGGCGGTCAACCAGGCGTCGTACCGCATGTCCACGGGCCACCCAGTCATGGAGAACCTGCTGTGCCTCGCCGCCTTTGCCGTCGTGGCAGGCGCCTGCCTGTGGCGCCAGCTGCGGTCGATGCAGGCCGTGTGGGCCGAGGCGCTGCTGTCACCCAAGGGCGCGAAGCTCAGGTGCGGCTCGCACCTGTCCAGGGAAGATTTGACCGAAGTTTGCCTCGTCACGAATCTGTTCAAAAGGGATCCTGCTGTGTCGATTTTGGCACACACTCGGCCTACATGCAGTCTCCAACACGTGCCCCAACCCGTCCAAACGCCGGCACTTACCTCCTCGTCGCCCTCCCGCCGCAGCCGCCCCGCGCTGCTGCTGCTGCTGTCTTTCCACAACGCCACGTTTGTCACCAGCTACACGCCCGAGTCGCCCCAGGAGGACCTCACTCGCGCCTGTGCAGTTGCGGCCGGCCTACTCTCCAAGAAGCTCGTTGTGAGTGCCTCAATGTCATAAACTGTACAAACATGATCCACCATGGTACACTTTCTATAGATGAAGCTCGAGTTTGGGCTGGATCTGCGATTTGGTGCTGAGGAGGCGCAAGCCTTGGGGCTGTTCGTGCCAGCTCGGAGGGGCAGCGGCGGATCACACACAAGCAGGCTCCCCTTGGCTGCTCCCCGCCTCGCCCGCACTGGCCCAGCTTGGTGAAGCGCCGCCAGCCGGGCGGCGCTTTACACACACACACACATGGGCCTGAAAACCCTCACCCGATTGCGGCCCCAGAGGCAAGCCTTGCTCGCCCTCGCTGCCAGCCAAGCCTTCGTCTCCGCGCCGCCCCCGGCCCACCGCCGCAGGCGCTGCGGCGGCTGCGGCTGCCGCTGTTCTACGACAGCACGGCCTGGGTGCTGCCCGCCGGCTCCCTCACCCACCTGATGATCACCATACCCTTCTGGGCGAGGTGACGCCCGCGCCATTTACATGACGACCTTTTGTATGACAATATCTTGATCACGTTATCATAAGCATGTTTCTGTCCTGTCGGCTGGGGAGTTGGCAGGAGGACGAGGGGGGCCAATAGAGACGAGTGGCTCTCTGGCGGATGCCCCGCCTACTGCAACGTTGACCGGCCGCCTGCCGTGAGATATTTTCCGCGATCTCCCGTCCCCCCGCCTTCCAGCGAGCTGTGGCTGGGCCCGACCTGGCTGGGCGCCAACAGCGTGGCCCTGGCGCTGTCTGCGCTGTTTGTGCTGACGTCCGGGGCCTACCTGGAGTGGCTCAGCGCCCTGCTGTCAAAGGTGGGCGTTGCCTGGGTGATCTGGGTCAATTGTGGTCAAGGATGGTCAAAGGTGGTCAAGGTGGTCGAACGTGGGTCTAGCTAGACCGGCTCAGCGTGCTGCTGCCGATGGCGGGCGCAGCTGGGGCGTCAAAGGTGGTCAAGGGGGGTCAAAAGCGGTCAAGGGTGGTCAAGGAGGGCCTGCTCAGAGTGGCTCGGCGCACTTCTTAACCGCTGGTGCTTTCTTTCTTTCTCTGCTCCACCCCAGGGCGAGCCAGACCCGACAGACGCGCAGCGCGCCGCCGCCGCAGCCGCCGCCGCCGAGCTCTCGGCTCAAGCCGCCGCCGCCGCCGCCGCCCCCCGCCCCTGCTTCGCCCGCGCCCGCGGCGCCGCGGCCGGCCCGCGCGACGGCGACGGCGAGAGCGACGCCGCGGGAACGGTGCACACGTCGGCCGTGTGCGGCGCGTGCGGCGCGGCCGGCTGCAGCCCGGGCTGCGCTGATGCGATGCGGTTCCTCGTCGCGCCCCCCAACGCGCGCTGCGTGCCGCGCGGCCCCACCTTCTTTTTCGGGTGGCGCCTGGGGTTCAGCCCGCTGGCCGGGCGGGGCGGGAGGGGCGCCGGCGCGGACGGCAACGGCGAGGGCGGCGGCGCGGCGGCGCAGCGGCGGGAGTACTGGCGGCAGCTGGCGCGGATGTCGTATTGGCAGGTGGGTGGGGTTGACCCGCCGCGTCGCACGCACGCTGACCCTCACCCCAACTCTCGGCCCTGCGAGCTGCTTTCTTGTTGAGACCTGGCGGGGGAGTGGGGTGCAGCTAGATGGGGAAGGGTGGTGTATTGTGCGTGTCTCTGGTTGCCTGTGGCTTGCTCCAAGGGAGGCGAATCAATGCCAGGCTGCTTTTCTCCGCGCCTGCCCGCCGCCGCCGCTGACCGCGTCATCCACACCGGCCCCTTCCCCCCTTACCCCCGTGCCGTCGGCGCGCCCGCTGCGCCCCCAGGCCGGCATGTGGGTGTTTGGGCTGTTTGTCGTCGCCATGATGGTGGCCGCGCGGTCGAAGCGGCCGGCTGAGAGCGTGGCTGACTACGTGCAGGTGGGTGCTGTTGTTTCAAGGGCTCTTGGGGACAGCTGGACCCCCTATGCTACTGTTATGAGCCAGGTTCAACCTCTCAGAGTTGGCCCCTCAACACAGCAACCAGCTGAAATTTCGGATCTTCGAGGATTTGGATTAAATTTAAGGGCTTACGTGGAGGCGGGGGCGGTTGCTCTCAGGCAGACCCTTGGCGGTTGGCCCTTCCCCGTCCGGCCGCACCTGGCCGTGCGCCGTGATTCAGAGCACTCCCCCTGCGCATCGCATCTGCTGAGGCGCCTCTGGGAAATCTCCTGCAACCCCAGCCATCAAACCCGGCCACACCTCAACAAACTCAGCCCCCAGCTTCCCCCCAGCCTCACCAAAGGGCACATAATCAGGCTCGCCCCCGCAGAACCACACCTGTGCATTTACTCCCCCACCCAACCCCACCCCTTCGTCCTGCCCCCACACCGGCCCACCCGCCTCCCTCGGCCCCGATTTTGCTCTCACCACCAACGCCAATACAACCTCCTCCATCTGATATGATCATTCCAGATCATATGGGATGGCAGAGCCGCCCCCATCAACTACAGCCTCATGGTGTTTGGCTACAGCCTGTACCTGATCGTCGGCTTCAACGCGGCGATGGGCAACCCCGTTCGCATGAAACAGGTACATATATAATTGCGTCCAGAGGGGTTTGATTGGAGGGTGACAAGGGGATTTTGTGGGGGCGGAAGCGGATGCCCGGCGGCCTGAGCGCCTAGTGTGGAACGTTTCTGATACGCGTGGGAGGCGGGGCGCTGCCGCGGGCGGCAGGAGCCTGTGCGGCGCGGCACGCGCCCTTCTGCTAGCTGTTTGTTGTGCATGAGTGCGAGCATATCTAGGGGGGTCAAGACCAATGCGATGAGCATGAATCGATCCCATATTGCGACCCAGGTAGCACGCCAGCTCCCTCTGCTGCCCTCCCCCTCCCCAACCCTCCACCTGAACCCCCCTGCCCCCTGCCCACGCCGCCCCTCGCAGGCCGTGATCGCCCTCGCCTTCTCTCAGATCACCGCCGCCCTCACCCTCGCCGCCCTAGCGGCCTGGGTGCCGGGCGCCCTGGAGCACGCCCCCGCGGGCGCTGTGGCGATGGCGGGGGGCCTGTATCTCGCGGCCACGCTGTATGAGGAGATCAAACAGAGCCTCGCTGACCTGGCGGCGGCCGCGCGGCGGCGGCTGCGCGGCGCCAGGTGCGGGCGGCCGGCGGGCTGCGGGGAAGCTGCCCGCCGGAAGCGTTGCTTGCTGCACAACAAAGCAGCGCCGCCGCCGGCTCCCCAGCTGCCTCGTGTCATCTGCGGGGCCTCCTTGCCCGCAATTCTCCGCTGTGCTCGCTCGCAGGTCCTCCCCAGCACCGCAGCCGCCTGCCGCGGGCGCCGCCGCGGCCCCTGGCGCGCCCGCGGGCGCCGCTCAGGTCGTATCGGGCCAGCCGGCGCTCACAAACATTCTGGCAGACAGGTGCGCGCACGCCGCCTCTCTTTTGTATCAATAGTTCAACTCAGCCCAATCGGCAGGGCTTCGGCCCGGGGGCCACCGCTTAGCAAGCAAGCGGGAAAAGCCGCAGCCACGCGCGCCACCCAGTGACAGCTTGCGCGGGGGCTTGGCAGCGAGCCCAGCGCCGGATCGCGCGTGGGCCTGCTGCGTGGCCGCCTCGCCGCGGTGCTGGCACCGGCCCCGCCATCCAGATCAGCCCCCCTCCTCCACGCCACCTCCATTGCGGCCCCCTGCCGCCCTTCTCCTTTCTGTTTCCCTCTTTCGTCCACTAATCCAACTTTCTCACTGCCCGCCCCCCAAGGTGCGAGGCAGCTGCCGCGCTGTACCGCCTGACCAATACCAGCGGCGGTGGCCCCGGCGCCGCGGCCGCACCCGCGCGCCTGGACCCGACGAAAGGCATCGGCAAGCAGCTGCTCCTGCTGCTCCAGGCGCGGCGGCGCGACTTTGGAGCCGCCGCAGCCGCAGCGGCCGCGGGCACCGCCATCTCGGACGCGACGCGCGGGGCCGGCCGCGGCGGCACGGCCGCGGTGTCGGAAGAAACGTCAGCGGTCGCGGCCGCCGTCGACGCTGACCTGGCGCTGCTGGCGGTTGCGTACCCGGAGGCCGGGCAGCTGCTCGATTATGTCATTGCTGGGCTGGAGGGCGGGCGGCTGAGGGTGTGGGTCGTGCCGTTTGCGGCGGTGAATCCTGAGGGCGGCCCGCCGCAGGTGAGAGATGGGGGAGTGTGCAGCATGCGTGGGCGCGCGTGTGATGCACCCTGCTTCGATTGTTAGGTGCCGTGCGCCCGCCTGCGGTGTGCGCGCTGACAGGGAGTGAGGTGTCCGCTACGGCTCCGCGCCGCAGTTCCGAGGCAGTACTCGACCCCTGAGACCCGCCACCCACACATATTGAATTTGTTGGGGTGCGAAAACCCCCGACAAACCCGCGCGCCCCGCAGTACTTTGCCCTCGGCGTGCCATCCTCAGCGGCCGTCCCTGCTGAAAGCGGCAGCGGCAGCGGGGGTGGCGGCGGCGGCCTGCCTGGATTGGACGTGTACGTCGCCTGCGACCCGCCAGGCGGCCCCAAGCAGCGCTGGGCCGCGGAGGTGTCCGCCCCCGACGCCGCGGCCGCGGAGGCGCACCTGCCGCCCGGCGGCGGGGGACCGAGCGCCGAGCTGGCGAGCATTGCGGAGGCCCTGGTGCATGAAGCATGCAAGCTGCAGGTGCGCGTGGGTGCCTGCGACACGCCCTTTCACCATGCCGTTGCCACTGTACAGTATCATTGTGTATGCAGAGAGAAGCCGGGGCGCCTGGCCAGGTGCAGGGTTCAAACACGATGCCCGCTTGACTTGAATTGTGTTTGGCCACCAATAGACACTGCCGCAAGTGTGGCGCCCTGGAGAGAAAATTAGTCGTGGCTGCAGCAAGCTGATGCGATCGGCTGCGCACTGTGCGCGCCCCCGCAGGGCTGGCGCGCCGCGCCCGGCCGCCTGGCCGCCACCGCCGCCGAGGCTGTTGTGGCG